TTAGAGCACAGATGTTAAAAGACTAATCCTTAACCCAAAAGATAATGATGTACTAGACATCATCTAACGGCGATGAGTATTCCTCGGGAGAACCCTGAGGTCTCTCATTTGACGTACCACCTCTTGAAGGTGTCGTTCATGAGCCCTTTGACGAGCTCGAAGTTCCATGACCTCAGCTTGAGAGGCAACCAGACGTTGCTGCAGAGTTTCATTGGTTCTCCGGGTCCGTTCCATATCTTCTTCGAGACGGCGAATGCGGACTGTGTTGACACCAGAGTTGGCATCAATCTCCACGACCCGGTCGATGGCTGCTCGACCTTGCTCGACATTACGAGCTATTCTACGGATAAGGACAGGTAGAGCTCGGTCAGCAGAGCTGCCATCGCTGACGTTGTAAAAGGTTCGGTCCCCAAAGTATGGTAAGGGTTGACCCTGTTCGTCACTCCAGCGATTCAAGTTATCTACCCACAAGGGAGTGGGACCTAGAAAAGCTGGTCGAGGGTTGTTGTTCGGGGCTTGACCTACGGGAGGTAGGTTGTTGACTTCAGGCTCAGAGTCTGATCCATCTGAGAAGCCTTCAGCTTGATGATCATCCAATGGAATTGGGTGTTCATCGTCAGACTCTGCTTCGAGCCATCCTGCGTTGCCTTCATTTGGAAAGTACGGGTCGCCGTGATGGAATCCAGCCATCTAAATCTACGCGAGAAGAGAGGTATAAAGATATAGTATACAAGTAGTTGGTAGTACAAAATACACCTATAGTATTTTAAGTTTAGGTTCTATTGAATCTTCTTGTGGTATTGTTGGTAAGTTTTTAGACTTGTTAACACATCACAACCATTCTAGGGCATATGCTAATCACTCCTCGGACCAGCATAGTTGATCAGGCTATGCCATTCCCAGGACTGACCATATATCCCCGAGCTTACCTGTGATATTTAACAATCGTAATACTTTGTTCTTGTCGTTGTGACACTGGTTTTAGTATGAATGTAGACTAGTATACTTAATTAAATATTTTAGTATTTTAAGTATAGACTCTTGGTCAGAGTGTTTTAATCCCAAATGGGTTTATAGTTTAGTATATCTTTTATGGGTTGATATACTTGATTCACTATAAACAATGCTCTGATACCAATCTGTCACACCCCAAAACCAAGAACGGCGGAAACGTTCTGGGGCGGAGGACGTCATGTAAGTATCACAACACAGTAAATGTAAATAAGCAAACAACATCATCCATTGCATTAAATATATAATTTTAATACAAGTGTGTTCTGTACATTGTAGACACCAAAAATAACGTATATCAAAATAATAAGATGAGTCTTGAATGCGCTCCATCTTCTCAAAAGCTGGCCTCGGTACCTGTCTACTGACGACCTGAGAATACAAGTTATTTTGAAAGAGTTTATCAGCATTAAGCTGGTGAGTTCATAAGTATTTTAGTGTCTGTATTGTCATTCAAAAATGTTTGAAATGTATCAAGTATAAGTTTGTAAAATGTATGTAAAAGTTTGCAATTGTTTGTAAAAGTTTGAATCTCTCAGAAAAACCTATATTTTCTATTAAAGAAGCCTTCTACCAAGGCTTAACTGTTTTGTATGTTCGTTTGATGTAAAAGTGTGTAATTTCCCAAATGTAACTATCATTTAACAAAATATAGTTTGTACATAAACGTTTAAGTGAGGTTATCACTAAAATATGTAATGGGTAAATTAATGTAGTACTGTAGCCTTGTATTATAAGAACTACTGCGGTACTAACTACCTTAAACCGGATTTATATTAAGGCATTACGTGATAAATTGCACCATACTATCGACTAGTAACAACGACAAATGAATGGTCGTAATAACGGAATGACGTTTGGCACCCGCAGACCTGCAGGTCCGGCTGTAGCTAGCAGCAAGGTGTAGGATTGTCAATCCAGTATAGATCTATACGCAAACTCACGCTCTCCCTTCAAGAGAATTCTGGCTACAACTCGAGCCATGACAGTTAAGTCATGCTCCGATTTAAATCACAATAATAAAGTATTCATGTATATGTACTGTTTCTTGTTCTAGTATATGTATATGTATTGTTTCTAGCATCATTGTATATGTATTGTTTCTAGTATATGTATATGTATTGTTTCTAGCATCATTGTATATGTATTGTTTCTAGTATATGTATATGTATTGTTTCTAGCATCATTGTATATGTATTGTTTCTAGTATATGTATATGTATTGTTTCTAGCATCATTGTATATGTATTGTTTCTAGTATATGTATATGTATTGTTTCTAGTATTGTATATGTATTGTGTTACCCCGATGGTAACTAACTATTGATGTACTGATAAATATGAATATGGAAGTACTTTTATGTCTATACATGTATATATGATATATAACTAATGTTGAAACGACCTTCGGATGGTCACCCGAAGTCCCACCAGACCACATCTCAGTGCGCGAAAAGGAAATAGGGCGGATGGCCTTCCTAAGCCTTTTAACATTACTTATATATATACATATATGGGCATGCAATTTATAAGAAGTAAAACAAAGTTTAATAAAAGTATTTGATAAGTAAAGAGTTTGTAAAACATTTGAAGTGAAACAGTTTGATAAAACAGTTTGAACAGTAGTAAAAATCGTTGTTTTCCTAGTTATTAATCACATGTGATTAAATGCAATCACATGTGATTGAAGCAATAACTATAAGTATTTGACTTGTATCCCCCCCATAAAGTATTTAAAACATTTAAAATCATTTCAAAGGTTGATTCAAGGGGTATGAACTCACTTGTGGTGAGTCGTTTGAATTGAGGTATCGGGTACCGTGCTAAGTGTCAAACGGAGACTTGTTCACACGTTGAGCCTAGTTATCATATAATAAGCATATATATAACTAATTAGCCACATAATAACTTAACAAAGTAAGTTAATACAATTAGGAACATGTAAACACTCTTATGAGTGTTTAAGGTTCAAATGGTTGCATCTGAGTTGCTACGGGACAAGGCAAAAGGGTTTGAAACATCAAATGGCCTTGCATAGGAGTTCACCACCCAACAAACCCCACATCTTGGAGTTTACGGCCGTAAACTCATGGGTTTATGGCCGTGAACTCCTCAAAGGGTAGTTTTGGTGTTTTATGGTGCTATCTTGATCCTAGCTCACTCCTAGCTTTGTTGAATAACATATGAAGTAGTTTAAGGCTCTTGTATACTCCTTAATGGAGTTTTCGGCCCAAAGATCCTCTCACCCTAGAGTTTACGGCCGTAAACTCTTGGATTTTAATTGATTTGAGGCTCTTAAACATCAAGGATGGCTTCCATGAATTTATCTAAGGCTAATGGGGACAAGATGCACACATTTAGGGCATCACTTGGAGTTTACGGCCCAAGATATGTTCATTGGCCGTAAACTCCTTTCAAGGAGTGGTTTTGATGTGTTCTACTCTCCATTCTAGTCCCAAGTATGCAAGGTAAATTGTCTTAAGGCCTTAGGTGTGCTTGGAATGATTTTTACATAAGAAAGGGGGTTTACGGCCCAAGATCCTTTCCTTGGCCGTAAACTCCTAAAACTCTATCATTTGGAAGTGTTTTCAAGTCCAAAACAAGCACAAGAACTAGTGGTTAAAGTCTCAAGGCTCAAGGAGGCAAGTTAGGGCATGTTTGCCCATTTGAAAGGGGTTTACGGCCTAAGAGTTCTTTGGCCGTAAACTCCTCTAATCTTGTGTTTTTGGACATATAAATGATGTTATAAAGCACATAGCAAGTATTAAAACATGTTTAGGAAAGCAGACTCACAATCCGGGATGAAAACCCGAAGATCCGTCAGAGAGAATTGGCTTTTCTCTAGTTGGAATTGTAAATAATGAATTAATTTAGTTCAGAAAACTATTTATAGTCCTGGAATATTTTGACAGACAATATTTTTATTCCAGAAGTCAGACTATAACATTGTGAAACTTACAATGTTCAAGTTTCACGATCATAGGAGCATCCATTCTCCGGATATGTCCAGAAACGTAAACCCTAATGTACCCAAACTTGTTCGGACAAGTCTGAAATTTACAGAAATTGGACTAGCTTCTATTGAATAGATGATGTTCGTACAAATGAAAATTTCGGGTTGTCACAGTATTGGTTGCGGATAAAGTTAAGTTAAAAGTTTATCTTTTAACTCTGTTAAATACCTTTTTTTAGACAAAAGACTATTTTTTACAGCTTTTTGCACACGAATGTGTGTGAATCTGGAACTTTTAGCATTTATTTTCCTTGTAAAATCATCTCGTAGAGACGTTTGTAGTGTTAAATCTATTAAAGAAATTTCATCATTAATATAATTTAAATTTCTTTGATGTTTTTTAATAGTGATTCTGCAATCTTTTATTTGAGAAATCAAAAACTTATTAGGTTCTTGATTAGCTAATACTTTATTACTACTCATTTGAGTTGTTATAAGATTTTTTGAGTTTTATAAAATATAATTTGTTATAGAGTTTATAGTTTTTGAAGTTGAAAAACTTTATTGAGATAGTTTTGTTATGAGTTAAAAGATAGTTTTCATACCTTGCTCGTGCTTGATGCTCTGTGATTTCTTCATCAATCTTGGTGTCGATCGTTCCTTCTTCCCTACGTCCTTCTGACTAGTGGTACTTGTTAGTACTAGATCAATATGACGAGTAAGACTTCAGACTTTAGAAATACAGATAGTTTTAGAAAGGATGGATTAAGAAAACTTCTCTTATTTATAAACGAACTAAAACCCGAAGGTTTTTACACTTTAAAACTATAAACCCTATACGGGGTTTTACTCACACATTTGCAGATTTCAGATAGAATGCTTAAGGCTCTCGTATTTACACTCTGCCTACAAATGAAAGCATAACTCTCTATTTATAGAATCATAGAGAGGATCTGATACAAGTATTTTACGTCACTGCTGACCAAATCATCCACTAACTACATTATTGTGTAGTGGGTTATCTTTGAGGGTTCTCTCTTATCTGGAGCTTGTCGAGGAATCTTCTTTAATAATAGCTTTGACATTAATATTTTCGGTAGTGGAGGCCACCTTGATGGTTAGGCATTGACAGTTGTATCTCTTAGTGCTTTTGTGGAGCGTCTTACATATGTCTTCCACGTGTTCACCGATTAAGTCTGGCTTTAGCAGGGAGTTTTGGAAGCCTAAGAACAGTTGCTCATCGGCTGGAGAAATCTCTTTGCTGTATTTGCTGTAGATTAAGGTCTTCTCATTGGCATCATATCCAACGACGAAGATCTTGTCATCCGCTGAAAAACTGAATACCTTATTGATTTTGCTAGTTAGAGGATATCATCTCTTTCAAGCTTTTCTTCCATTACTTTGTTGGGTAGATAGGTTTCTTGTTTGCAGATGCCTATCTGTACTAAATGATGAGGATGATATTTTATTTCATCCTTATTATTTCAGTATAGGATGCTACTGTTGAATTTTAGAAAAATGACTTGATCCTTTTTGCAGCATCTTGTTCTGAAAGTTTTTATTGCTTTTGTAAAGCTTTTAGAGAAAAGCTTTATTTCCTGTAGGTTTTGACTAGGATAGATGGTTTTAACCAATCCTAGTTGAAATGCTTCATACACTTGTCAAGAGTTGGCATTTTTGTAGAAATTGTAGTGGCTTAAATTCTTCCCATCAATAGTGGAGAATTTTTCTTCTACAAAATTTTCTTCCCTTGCACTTCGGGCATACCTATAACAATACTCGAAGTCTTTTATCAGTATTTCTAGTGGGAGGTCAGGTGTGACTTCTTCAGTGTTTTTGGGAGTTTTTCTTGGAAGGCTTCCAAGGACGGTTTTGGAACTTTTGGTAGAGTTTAAGGCTAACTTGAATGTGTTAGGCCTTAAGGTCTCTGCTGCAGTAATAAGGTGTAAATCTAAGCACCTTTCCGATCTTGTGTATTGATCTGCATCTATCTTGGCTTCAAGAAAGTTCTTAAACTTTTTATTTTTGATATTTTTAATTCCTTTTGTTGCCTTTTTGGTGATATTCCAGTCTTCGAATATAACAGCGTTGAGTCGATTGAATACAATGTAGTATGGTTTTGAATTTTTATTAGGAATTTGTAACCATTTCTCTGGGATTGGAATTCCCTTCTCAGGTGTTCCTAAACCTGAAGATGAACCTTCAGTTTTTGGGATTTGAATTCCCCCGTTGGGTCTTAGACTAAAGTCTAAGCGTGTAGCCAACGTTATTGGAGTTTGTACTCTTGTCTGGATTTTTGGTAATTCCAAAACCTTCAACGGATTTGTTGAGTCTTTACCTGGAGTCGTTTGCTCAGGACTAGACGTTTCTTTTCTTTTTAAAGGAGCTGAAACATTGAACTCTTTTTGTTCGATGTTCTTTTGAACACTTACATTTTCTTCTTGACTCATAGGAGAGGAAGGAGAAGAAAGTTTCTTTTTTTGTTCAGACATAAATAGTCTTACAAGTTTTAATTGGATTCTGAAGAATTCCAATTCTTGTTCAAGAAGAGCTTTTTTGAGCATAAGCTCTTGTTCTTTCTCCATTTGAGAAAGGTTATGTACCTGTAGTCCAAATTATGGACTGAGGTTAAAACCTCCGGGTCGTTAGACCACCAAAGTATAGCGCCGAATGGCTTTGATTCCTGCATGAAAAGAGTATCAAATCTGATTAGTTTTTCTGCTGGAATTCTCGAGTTAAGAAGTCTGCAAAGATATTCTTTTCTCCTTTAATGTGCTCTACTTCGAAGCTATATCTGGAAAACCACATTTGCCATCGAACTCATCGACCTTTTTTGTTATCTCTAGAAATGTTATTTCTTAAAAAATAAGCAAAGTTTTTGTTATCTGTTCTTACTGTAAAATTTACAGGTGTTAGATAGATTCTTTTAATGGCAATATATTCTTTTTCATTAGAATGGTAATTTCTTTCAGCATCCTTAAAAGATCCCGAGGTGTATCTACAAATTAATTCTTTGGATTGATCCTCAAAATTTATTGCTTTAAGGATTCCTGCCCAATAATTATCTGAAGCATCAGTTTCGATAATTAATTTATCATCTAAGTTAGGATGATATAGAGGTGGAAACTCTTTTAGGTTCTTTTTTTATCTTTGCCATATAGCTAGAATCATCTTCAGACCATGACCAAAGGACATCTTTCTTAATTTTGCATTGTAAGGGACTTCTTATTTTTGCAAGTTTAGGAATGTAGTTTGAAGCACATGTTAAGATTCCTAAAATCTTTGTAACTGGTTTTTTATCTTAAATTTTATTAGGAAATCTATGAATACTTTCCAAAATATGATTTTGAAGATGATGACTTCCTTGTTCTATTTCTAACCCAAGAAAATTTATTTTACTTTTAAAAAGTTGTGCTTTCTTTTTGGAAAGAATGATTCCAAGAATATCACACTTTTTGAGAACAACTGCTACGTGTAACAAATGTTCATTTTCATTGTTGCTAAATATGAGGATGTCATCTACATAAACACAACAAAATTTTTCAAAAGATCAGAATGCATTTTTTATATGTCTTTGAAATATGGATGGAGATTGTTTTAGACCGAAAGGTACGACAGTCCATTGGTAATGTCCTTGGGGACATGTGAAAGCTGTTAAGAGTTGTGATTCAGGGTCAAGTAAAACTTGCCAAAAGCCAGATTTACAGTCGAAAGAGCTGAATATTGGTTTTCCTCTAATAAGGGTGAGAAGTCCATCTTTATTAGGGAGATTATGGTTGTCACCTATGGTTGCTTTGTTAATAGCTTTGTAGTTATCTACCATTCTTTTCTTTCCTCTTCTTATTTATGCATGATTTTCAACAAGGAAAGCGGGAGATCTGTGAGGAGATTTACTTAGAATGATGACCTTTATTTCAATTAGTTCTTTGATTTGTTTACTAAGTTCTTCGACATCTTGAGGATTATATTTCATAGGTTTAACTATTATGATAGTGGTCGGGTCGATTAATTTTATGCTTGCTTTCATCCATTGTTTTGATCTTATTGGGTCTATAGGATTTTCTGAGCAAATTTTTTCAAGTAAACTTTCAATTTTTGAAAATTTTTCTTGGTTAAGAATAAATTTAAATTCTTCTTCATTCTCCCCCATTTTAAAAGGCAAAGTTTCTTCAATTTTGCTTTGAGAGATGTTGACAGGTTCTGGTTTTTTAATTTTTGAATTATTTTTCATTGATTCTAAAAATCAAGGTTTTCCATTTCTATAAGCGTTTGTGATCTTATCAACAATGATTTGAACACCATTATTGTGGAAAGTAACAGTTTTGAGATTTTGTACAAATGGTCTATACAAAGGACAGAAGTTATTTCCTAGGATGAAATCTATTCCACATTCTTGTTGGTATACAAAGGGGATATGGAATATTTCCCCAGCAAGTTTTTTCTATAAATCAACACATTTTTTGTTGATAATTACAGGTCTGTTTGTAGTGGAAACCTTTATAGGTTTTAGAGTGTTAATCCAATGTTCTTCTGGAATAACATATTTACTTGTGATACAAAGACTGGCTCCTGTATCAATATAACAACTTAAATCAATCTGTTTATATCCGGCAAATCTAAATGTACCTTTAACATAAATTGAGTTAGGATTTGTGATGGTTCGTATCACCTTTTTAGAGTTCATGACCTTTGAGTCAGTCTGAATCAGTGTCTGATTCTGTAGATGATTCATCTAGAGGTTCTTCAATCAATGTGTAGACGATTTGTTCATCTCGAAATTGTTCTTCTATAGGCCTAAGGTCCATAGATGATGCTATTTCAAGGATTTTAACTTTTTGTGGGTAATCTTTCCTATTAGGACACTCATTGGCATAGTGTCCTTCTTCACTACAAACCCAATATCTCCAGTTCTTTTTATTTTTCGGACAAAATTTACTTTTGTCTTTTGTTTTTTGAAAATCTTTTGATTTTTGGAAATATTTTCCCGGTTTAAACCGTTTAGTATCTTTCTTTTTTGAAAATCTTTTGTTCTTTTTTGAATTTTTATTAAAAGATTTATTTGAAGAACTTTTTGTTTTATGGTGAACTTTGCATCCATACTCTAAGGGTTTTTCTTTTGTTAAATGACTACAACAATTTTTATTAAAACATTTTAGTCTTTTTTGTGTGTTTGATAGATTACAAATTTTTTGAATCTCATCAATAACAATTCTCTTAGCAAAAGCAAGACTATAAATTGTAGCATTTGTAGATTTAGTTATAAATCTGTTATGAGATTGTTGTCCTACAATGGGAATTTTTAATAGATATTGTTTGATCAACTCACGATATGGATTTGAATAATTTATTTTGTAAAGATTTGTTTCATAGTCACATGTCTAATGATCTAGAAAGCAAATATCACATATGGTGAGATTCGTAAGTCTGGACTTTGCTTTTTCGATTTCTCTTTTTTGTTCATTAGCTTTGTCTTCTATAAGATCTATCCAAAGGAACATCATGTAAATGGCATCAAGCATGTCTTGGAATACTGTCATTGGATTATGACTAATCCAGTTTGTACTTTTGATAAAATTTTGAACTATTCCTGATGTTTTATGGTCAAACAATAAAAGGATAGATTCTTTCGTTGCATATTTTTCTTTATTAGTCTGAATGATTAGACTTATTTCTGAAGTCCATCTATTGATAAATTCTTTTCTATTTGTTTCAATGTTGTCAATATTGAGAACGTTTGTTCCGAACTGGTTTGGATTTCCAGTGGGTAGATTTGGCATAGAGCCAGTTCCATGACCTTGTTCAGTTTTAGGTCTTTTTCTTCTTTCACCTCGAAAAGAAGATTCTCCAGGCTGATCAAAATGTGGTTCGGCTTTATTCATCCCGAAGTTAGGCTCTCTATTAGAAGAAAGAGATTCTACTTCTTCTTCTGAAATATATACAAAAGTTTCTTTATTAGATGTTTCTTCTATGACGTTAATTGTTTCATCAAAGTGAAAATTTTGTTTAAGTTCCTCAGATGTAGAGATTTCTAAGTTTACTGTATCCTTTCCTTTAGATTCAACAAGATCTAGTAACCTAAGAGCTTGATCAAGAATGGATACATTTGATCCATTGATTATTAATTCTTCATCTTCAAAGTTATCCCAGAAGAATTTTTCTACTTTAGATAAATAATCTATCATGTTGATTTAAAGTAGTCTTTGGGCCATGACATAGAATTGGGATTCCTTGATGATCCTAGTTCTTCATTTCCTACACTATAATTAGGGTATGAGTATTTACCAGTGAATGACTTTTTATCTGATACCAGGAATTGGTTGCGGATAAAGTTAAGTTAAAATACCAGGAATTAGTTGCGAATAAAGTTAAGTTAAAATTTTATCTTTTAACTCAGTTAAATACCTTTTGTTTGACAAAAACTATTTTTATATCTTTTTGCACACGAATGTGTGTAAATCTAGAACTTTTAGCATTTATTTTCCTTGTAAAATCATCTCGTAGAGACGTTTGTAGTGTTAAATCTATTAAAGAAATTTCATCATTAATATAATTTAAATTTCTTTGATGTTTTTTAATAGTGATTCTGCAATCTTTTATTTGAGAAATCAAAAACTTATTAGGTTCTTGATTAGCTAATACTTTATTACTACTCATTTGAGTTGTTATAAGATTTTTTGATTTTTATAAATTATAATTTATTATAGAGTTTATAGTTTTTGAAGTTGAAAAACTTTATCGAGATAGTTTTGTTATGAGTTAAAAAATAGTTTTCATACCTTGCTCGTGCTTGATGCTCTGTGATTTCTTCGTCAATCTTGGTGTCGATTGTTCCTTCTTCCCTACGTCCTTCTGACTAGCGGTACTTGTTAGTACTAGATCAATATGACGAGTAAGACTTCAGACTTTAGAAATACAGATAGTTTCAGAAAGGATGGATTAAGAAAACTTCTCTTATTTATAAACGAACTAAAACCCGAAGGTTTTTACACTTTAAAACTATAAACCCTATACGGGGTTTTACTCACACATTTGCAGATTTCAAATAGAATGCTTAAGGCTCTCGTATTTTCACTCTGCCTACAAACGAAAGCATAACTCTCTATTTATAGAATCATAGAGAGGATCTGATACAAGTATTTTACGTCACTGCTGACCAAATTATCCACTAACTACATTATTGTGTAGTGGGTTATCTTTGAGGGTCCTCTCTTATCTGGAGCTTGTCGAGGAATCTTCTTTAATAATAGCTTTGACATTAATATTTTCGGTAGTGGAGGCCACCTTGATGGTTAGGCATTGATAGTTGTATCTGTCACACCCCAAAACCGATAACGGCGGAATACGTTTCGGGGTGGATGACGTAGTGTACAGTATCATCACAATTGTATAATAGTAAAAGCAAGAAACATACAACCATTTCATTTACATAGTAAGTGTATTTACAAGTGTGTTTTGTAATGTTTGACAAACACCAAAAGTAAACAAAAATAAGAGATGGGTCTTGCATACTCCATCCTCTCCAAAAATGCTGCAGCTGTACCTGTCTATCTTTGACCTGAAGATACAAGTTATTTTGAAAAGAATATAAGCATAAAGCTGGTGAGTTCATAAGAGTTTAGTGTGAGTACTTGTATAAAAAGCATTAGAATCATTAGTATGAAAACTGAAGTTTGTAATCATAAGTAGTGGTAAAACCTAGAAAATCCTGTATTTCCCAGAAATGTACAGTAAATGAAAATCTTTAAGAAGTATGTTGTTTCTATCTTTGAAAGCCATTTATCATAAAAGTGTAATAGTGATTCACCATTTAGTAAGGCAATATAGTGAGTTATTCTTGGAGTACATAATAGTGGTGCAGCATCCTTTAGTATTAGATACTTATTTACTTCGGGATATTACTTCATCTTTTTTTTAGTATTTTAGTGCGGTTATAGTGTCTTTCTTGTATGTTACCAATAGTGTGAGTAATAGCGGACCCTCATGACCTTCCCAGTCATGCATAGTGTGGTAGAGTAAAGGCATCCCTGGGCCTGAGCAGCTCGGACTGAAGTTATCAGTCGGGATGTAATAGCGTCTGCCCCGTATAGATCTATACATATAGTGTCGTCTTCCTATCGGAAAACTTCGGGCGTAGTGTGTAGCGTATAGAGTATCTCGTAGTGGATTAATGAATTATCTCATGATTAGTACATTCTCTTGTATTATAGTGTAGTAGTCTTTTGTATAACTTGTATTGTATTCTCTTATTAGTGTATTGCTTCATAATAGAGAGAATTATAGTAGTGTAGAGTAGTAGTTGAAACAAGGGATAGAGTCCTTAACTATACCTATTATAGTTAAATTAGTGTGTGTAGTTCTAATCAGGTTAGTGATTTAGGCATCTAATGAAATAAGAAGTACTCGTAATCCGTACTAATATACGAGATATATAACTAAGAAATCAATGACAGTCGGACGGATAACCACTACCCTAAGCCCACAATCAAACAAGAAACAGGAAATAAGGCGAGCTATCGGTCCTAAGTCCTTCAAGTCTTACTTATATAAATATATTAGTATGGTTACATTCTTATAAGGAGTTTTATTAAACAAAAGTGTTGTATGAAAGAAACATTTAAAACTTGTTTGTTTATCCAAAATAGTTTTGAAAACAATTGATTTATTTATAAAGCATAGTGATAAATCACATGTGATTTGAACTACAGGTTGTGAATCACATGTGATTAATTCTGTAATCTGAAAAATAGTCTTGTATAACTTTTCATAAACATGTATATTCAACTTGTATCTCCCCCCTAAAACATATAAAACATTTGAAAGGTTCATTTAAGGGGTATGAACTCACCTGAAATCGCGGATATCGGGTGAATCGGGTAAAAGTGTCGATTGAGCGTTTGGTATCAAATAACCACTTGAGCACCTCCTAGGACCCTAATGTCATATGAAATATGTATTTTACAAGAAGTTAATCATCTTATGCTTTTCATTATAGTATTTGGACATTCTAGCATCGTTTTCGGGGTTTTAAGGCCTAGAAAGGGTTCCCGGGAGTGGTACAAGGTCATGAATGATTTAAGGGAGGGTCCATGAGCTCACTCCCTTGGAGTTTATGACCTAAAGGCCACCCTTTGGGAGTTTACGGCCGTAGCCCCCTAGGCTTGGCCGTAAACTCTTGTGACACTCCAAAATGTATGATTATGGCCTTATTTCACTTCCTTAATTTAATGGTATGTGTCTTGGACTAATAGGAAGGGATTAAACATCATAATTTGTGAAATTTTTGGGGAGTTTACGGCCAAGACTTGTTCTTGGGCCGTAAACTCAAATAAACCCTTCAAGATGTATGTTTTAATGGTACAACATGGTCTCATACACCTTAGATAAATCCTAGAAGGCCCTATAGTGAGTTTTGGGACAATTTGGCATGCACTTTTGGGGAGTTTATGGCCCAAGAACATCCTTGGCTGTAAACTCTTCATTTTGTATCCAAATGTGAAGTTAAATGTTACAACACACTTCCAAAGGCCTTAGCTAAATTCCTTACAAGCACTAGAGTAGTTTAGGGACCTGTTTGACACAAATTTTTGGGTGTTTACGGCCCAAGCTTAAGCTAGGCCGTAAACTCTTCATTTTGCCCTCAAATGGAGTTGTTTGATGCATTTAAGTGTTCCTTGGAGGCAAGTCCAATTTACCAAACATCTTAGAAGAGTTTTTGGGACTTTAACATAGATTTATGGGGTCTTTGAGGTGTTTACGGCCTAAGCACAAGCTTGGGCCGTAAACTCCTTTTTACATGTCAAATCCTTGTGTTTTAGTGTCCAAACCCTTCTAGATACATGCCTTAATTATTATACTAGCTTAAAATAAGGAAAAACTTGATCTTTGGCATGATTTTGGGGGTTTACGGCCTAAGGAGCTTCTTAGGCCATAAACTCCTTTATGGTCCTTGATTTCTATGATTTTGGCCCCTAAATTCAATGAAGCATGACTAGATTAAGATAGAGGATGAGTACTTACGTTTGGAAGTCGGAAATTAGCGGATTCGGGGCCGGTTTCGAGTCTAGAGAGAGAAAGTAGAGAGAGAAAGTGGGTGTGTGGTAAAAGAGTATTTAAATGTTGTGCACACCCATTTCATATGTCTCGGGTATCGTACCCGATACACGGCTACCCGATGTTTAAAGTTAACTGGGTTAAAACTTTTTACCCGGGTGAAGTGGTTGAAACAGTAATACAACTCTATTAGGTTAAACTGGGTTAACATGTACGAGTTATATTGCTTATGATGATATTAAGACATGCATATAATTAGATATTCGGATACTGACGATTCCAAATATTACATAAAATAACGTATGTTGATGCATTCCGTTAGTGAAAATTAGGGTTTGTAACGACAATATATTTGGAGTTGTCACATTATCCCCCCGTTAGGGGAATTTCGTCCCGAAATTTAGAATTCATACAGATAAGAATTACAATACTACTACGCGAAGAGATGGGGGTATTTGAGTTTCATTTGGTCTTCGCGTTCCCAGGTGTATTCCGGTCCTCGTTTGGCGTTCCACCGAACTTTCACAATTGGGATACGGCTTTGCTTCGTTCGTTTTACTTCTCGATCCATAATCTCCACGGGCTCTTCCACGAAGTTGAGGCTCTCATTGACCTCAATCTCGTCAAGGGGAATTACGAGTGTCTCGTCTGACAGGCATTTCTTCAGGTTAGAGACGTGAAAGGTAGGGTGTATGTTGCTTAGTTCGTGAGGTAGGTTGAGTTTATAAGCTACGGGGCCGATTCTGGCGAGAATCTCAAAAGGCCCTATGTACCTTGGGTTTAGCTTTCCACGCTTTCCAAAGCGTATCGTGCCCTTCCAGGGTGAAACCTTCAACAGGACTCGGTCTCCTACCTGGAATTCCAAGGGTTTTCTTCGTTTGTCGGCGTAGCTCTTCTGTCGATCCCTAGCGGCTTTTAGTCGTTCGTGTATCAGTACAATCTTCTCGGTCGTTTCTCGAATGATCTCCGGACCAGTGAGAGAGCTATCAGGAACTCTTCCTTTAGCTAGTTGAGTGTCACCCACCTCAGCCCAGCACAGAGGGGATCTACACTTACGACCGTAGAGGGCTTCGAATGGGGCTGCCTTGATGCTCGTATGATAACTATTATTATAAGAAAATTCCACAAGAGG